AATGTCAGATTCTTCATATTCGATCTCTTCCACCTCCTCTTCGCTCCGGGTTTTATATGGGGATTGTTTCTAGAAAAAAGCTATTGTGAGACCTAGAAAACAATTGAGCAACTATTCATTGATGCTGATGAGATCCATTTGGACCTCCTCATCGTATTTCGAGTATTTGTGTGTATTTTTGTGTGCATGTGTATACAGTGTTGTGTGTGTTTCTTCTTGCCTTCTATTTCCTTTTTTTTCTCTGTGGTTGTTGAGAGTTCTCTTTTTAGAGTGGCTTCTTCTGCCCTCCTTATCTCCTCATCTCCTTGGTTTGTGTGCCATCTAGAGAGTGAAACCGAGAGAGAGAAAAGCGGGGGCTAGTGAGCTTTATTACATATGGGCCTGGTTGGTAAAGATTGGGCTGGGGAGAGAGGTGGGCTTTTGGGCCCATTTGAGACATTATTTAGACTTGGGCAAATCAGTCCGGATCATCTACTCCCCCCAGTTCGTCATGAAAAGTGCGGAGTAACTAGTCGTGGCGAACTACTCTCTCGAAATGCTTTGACGACGTGAAGAAATCGAACCAATTCACTCCCCCCAATTCGTCGGAAAAGGCGCGAAGTAACAAGTCACCTCGAGTTTGGTTTTTCTCTCTCCCCCTTTTTTTTTGGAACGAGATGTCGTTCTTCGCTCTATGAACAAATTACCAGTTACTTTAGTTTTTTTCCGAATGCCATATTTTTCCTTTTCGTTTCTCGCATACGACGTACGTTCTTCATCATGACTTCATTTTTCCCTGCCTTTAAAATGAGTGCGACCGCTACCGATCGTACTCCAATGTCGGATGCGAGATACCCCGTCTTACTCTTCTTTCGGATGCGAAATACTTCGTCTTACTCTAGTGCGACCGATATCGATTGTACTCCAGTGTCGGATGCGAGATACCCCGTCTTACTCTTCTTTCAGATGCGAAATACTTCATCTTACTCTAGTGCGACCGATATCGATTGTACTCCAGTGTCGGATGCGAGATACCCCGTCTTACTCTTCTTTCGGATGCGAAATACTTCGTCTTACTCTAGTGCGACCGATATCGATCGTACTCCTATCTCGAATGTGAGATACCTCGTCTTACTCATCTTTCGGATGCGAGATAACTCGTCTTACTCCAGTGCGACCGATACCGATCGCACTCTTATTTCGAATGCGAGATACCTCGTCTTACTCATCTTTCGGATGTGAGATACCTCGTCTTACTCCAGTGCGACCGATACCGATCGCACTCCTATTTCGAATGCGAGATACCTCGTCTTACTCATCTTTCGGATGCGAGATAACTCGTCTTACTCCTCTTTCGGATGCGAGATACCTCGTCTTACTCCAGTGCGATCGATCCCGATCGCACTCCTCTTTCGGATGCGAGATACCTCGTCTTGCTCCAGTGCGACCGATACTGATCGCACTCTTATTTCGAATGCGAGATACCTCGTCTTACTCCTCTTTCGGATGCGAGATACCTCGTCTTACTCCAGTGTGATCGATCCCGATCGCACTCTTATTTCGAATGCGAGATACCTCGTCTTACTCATCTTTCGGATGCGAGATAACTCGTCTTACTCATCTTTCGGATGCGAGATACCTCGTCTTACTCCTCTTCCGGATGCGAGATACCTCGTCTTACTCCAGTGCGACCGATACCGATCGCACTACTCTTTCGGATGCGAGATACCTCGTCTTACTCCAGTGCGATCGATACCGATCGCACTCTTCTTTCTTTTCGATAACGTGACCGATACCAGCCGCGGTCTTCACTTTTATGTGCTGATCTAACCTCGCCATAATACCATTCACCAAGAAGACATATATGCATATATTTGAGAATTAAAACTTTCCCATATAATTTATAGATATAAATATTACCTTGCAAGGATATTAGGAGAGATGTGAGTTTCGAAAAATCCCTTCTCGAGGTAAGAAAAAAGAACTCAGCACAAGCGAGCTCGCCAACTACTCGCCTTTGCGTAAAAGAGGCAAATGACAAGCGAGGTCCAAAGTGGGCCCACTTCTAACGGATTGACCGTATAAGACTACGTCTTCTAGCTTAGTACCGTAATTCTCCCCAAGACATTTGAATACAAGTTCAATGTCTGCTCATGTGTTCTGCTCACTTGGCTTCCCCGGCGATTGGCCATATCCCGAATACTCATAACCACAAGCTCATTTGAGCAATCCAGTAGCATCCGACTCTCTTTTTACTATGAAATAAAGTTATTCATAAATACACTTAATATCTATTCCGCATCCTCATCATTCAGAATTATAAGACTCCTCCAAAAGCAATTTCACTCTAGCAAAACTCTACAGAGGTGGTGGGTCTCACTCTTCAACTAAGGGTGATTTCATTTTCATTTTTTTTTTAGCCTCTTCGATCACAAGGAAATATCTGCATTCCTTGCCTCCATCATGTATATTTTTACACAAAGTCGAGCATTACTAATACAAGATTGATTTAATTAAGGTGGAAGGATCGACATGTATTAATTGGCCTACCAATTGACTTTTCAATTTGGAAAAAGAGCCACATTCTCAAACAAATGTATTGGAAGTTCTGTAATTCGAATCTACACCGGATCGAAGTCGTAACTTTATTTTTAGCAATTTAAATTGAACGGTGTACTCACCATTGGATTCTTCGTGTCAAGGATTTTCTTTTGGTGGTCATTCGTATGGTTTGGATAATTGAATCTATCTATGTGTTATTTTACTGTGTGCTCACAACGTTTTTTCGTCAGCCGGACTTTGACAAGTTATCCACCATTGGATTCCTCTCGTTGTTGTTGTTACATGGTATGCTACCAATTTTTTTGGTGTACTAATATTCATACCAAAAATGTAATAATGATAGTTGTTGATGAATTTTGGTAGGGTAGCTCTGCTACATATAGCCACCCTTAACTCATTTTTTCTTTATACACAATATTTTTCAATTTTTGGAGCAATCATCATTCATCATATTTTAGTGGAAGAAAAAAAAATCATAGAAGTTAGAGTTTTTATAAGAAATATAATTAAACAAAAACAGAAGAAAGCAAGACTCTTTTTTCCGTGTGGACATACTTTCGGTTGATTTATTTTTGCCCTGTATCTAATAAACTTCACCTTCTAATATTTAAATACACTGTATCTATCCAATTCAAGTTTCCCTATTTGATTATATTTAAATTTAGGCTGATATGTTTTATTTTTTTAATTAATTAATTTAGGGTGATATGCTACTCCGTGGAGTTTTAGGGTGTATGCATCTTCAACATCCTTATGTGGTGGAATCGCGTCACGGTGACAAAATACACGGGAAGTTATATGCATGCTACATCGGGTATATATATGTTAACTGTAGATGATCGAGGTTAAATAACAACCCACTAATCACACATACAAATGGGCGTGTGTCTCTACGGTTAATATTCACCCGGTGTTAATAACCGGGTGTAGCATAGAATTTAACAGAATACACATACTCTTTGCAGTTGGTCAAACTATATATCAACTCTAAAACATGCAGTTTAAAACACATGCCCCTATCTAACTTTTATGTATGTGGGGTTAAAAATTGACCCAATCCCTTTGCCAATAGTAGTAACTAGCTAGTATTATATTGACCATAAAACTGAATTAGGTGTATTAGAAAATTCCAAGAAACTTAAAAAGTCAGTAAAGACAGAAGTTTTCAACGGTCAAAAAAACTGTAATAAAATAAAATAATTCAATAAGTTAGGTCAAAGGAGCAGCCCTAGCTGTCATAACTCAAACTTAATCATATATATAAAAACATAGAAGATTTCAAATTACATTCATTCATTCATATATCTCAATATAATTCTTTTATTTTTAATTTTATACTAAGACACAATATATATTCTTTCAGACTTTGAGAAAAACTGCGAATAATAATGTTCGGCCGGATAAATTCTTGTGCTCGTAGATTTTTTTACAATCATCAGTTCATGAGTAATAATAACATGGAGGCGCAATTCTCAGACGACAGCGGGAGATTCTCAGAAAGGGATTTTAAGGATGACGAAAGAGTTGCTAATTACGATAGTAATAATGTATCGGTCGCACGAGAAGTCGACTTATTCTCCGGGGAAGAGAAATCGGAAAAATTAGAAAGATTTAAAGTTAAAACCGTAGTGATTGGGCAGATTGTAAAGGAGGAAGCCAGATAATTAAAAGGAGGAAGAAGCAAGATAATTAAAGGAGGGAGGAAGCATTCTTTGATTAATTTTTGTTGTACTGTAGCAATTAATATTCTTCTAGTTATCAATGATTTTACACATTGGGTTTTTACAGTGGTAATTTTTGTATACAAAAATGGAGCCTGCTTTTTTACTTGAGGCTTTTTGCATATAAAATTCCAAAAAAGTTGTGTATAAAGTTTAATTTGCGTTTAGAGTGGGATAGTTACAGTTTTGGTTCCTATATTATACATCTTTTTAATTTTGGTCCTTCAATTTTTTCTGGAACGAAATTGGTCCTTAAATTAAATAACCAATTTTTTTACAACTTTCATCCACTGTTTGAATTGATGTTAGTTTGGACGGAAAAGTCATGTGCATCGCACGTGAATTTTCCATCCAAACTAACAGCAATTTCAAACGGTGAACGAAAATTGTAAAAAAAACTTGTTATTTGAGGACCAATTGTGTGCCAGAAAAAGTTTAAGGACTTACATTGAAATAATGTATAATATAGGGACCAAAAATTTAATTATCCCCGTTCAGTGTTGTTAAAAGTCCATTTTCATGTAGTGCTGTAAATTGAAGGTACGTGAGAGACATATGCCATTTTCCACCAAACTTAATTGAAAAATAAACGCGGACCATTTCCATTAAAAAGTGGCATGATTAAAGACTAATATTCTCTTTCCCCACACACACACACACATTGCCTTTGCTGCATTTTGAGGTTACTTGTCGAAACGTGTTTGTGAATCTATCAAACAATTAGGTTTAACTGCCTGCATACATATATCTTACTTAACACACAAATTATAAATGCAAGGCAAACCCTTAAGCATGCATTAAATCCTTAATTTACAAGCAACATATATATGTTATTACATCATGTAACACACTCATTCCACACACACACACTAATTTCTTATTTTACTGATTTATTTTTAATCAATAATTATTATCTTGATGAATTTAATTATTGATAATTCCAGAGATAATACCCTGCATCCTCCATATTATTATAACTTCCATGATCAACATTATTATCATGATCAGCAAATCCGTAATTAATACTTGGCGGAGGGCTAATTAGCAACCCTTCGGCCATGTTCGCAAGAACGTTCGGCAAATCAAATATCAAATCCTCGTCCACAAACCCATGATCAATAACATCAATATTATTATCCAAGCTAACCGGAACTTCAGGCGGTTGTGCCCGAAAGGCGTCCACCGCGGCCCCAGCAGCCGCGGCTGCACTGGCAGCCGCGGCCTGAATGTCCCGCGGCGAGGTGGAAGCGGGGACAGGGAGAGAAGAAGCTGAGTTGGGAAAGTTGAGCTGGGCTTCACCCCCCTTGAGAGCGAGCGCCGCCACGTCGTAGGCGGCGGCCGCCATCTCCGGGGTGGGGAAAGTGCCCAGCCATATCCTGTTCGGGGTTCTGGGCTCCCGAATTTCGGAGACCCATTTCCCGCTGCTCTTTCTCCTCCTCACGCCCCGGTACACTGACGGGCTGCGACAACGGCGGCCGCCGTCGGATGCCGGAGAAACACTGCTGCTACTGCCCCCGCCGGGAGACTGAGACATGGTATATTAATTGTTTCGGTTTCGGTTTCGGTTTTCGGTTTCGGTTTCTGGTATTGCGATTGCATGATTAGGGTATCCATTTATATATATATGGATATGGAAGTTAGAATTAGGTTATGTAAGTTGGAGATTTTAGTGATGAAGTTGAAACCAGTTGTGGAGTTGTGAGGATACAGCCAGATATATGTGATTATGGATTTTTCTGGGCTGGAGGGCTTAAATATAATTCAACACTTAACACTTACCAGTGGTGAAATTGATCTTGATGGAGATTAATTAGTTTAATTTAATTAAAGCTTTTAAAAAAATATATATATATGTATGTATACAGTTGGAGTACAACACAGAGTGATTTGATTTGGATGACCTTTGGGAGTTTTTTTTTTTTTCACTCTAGTTTTGCTCCTAATTTCATGTCAAAATCAACTGAGTTGTATTTTATCTAGCTAATTTACTATTAAAAAGAAAAGAAAAACACAAGATATATATATGTAATCTTAAAAAATGAGAAATAAAAACCTACTTAATACAAATTACAAGGTCTTAAACAAATGGACTAGAATATATATGAAATTAAAGAGTAACTAATAGGAATCAATATCCAATTTAATGTAATTACAGTTAAACCCTTTCTACTTTAGAAAATTATGGATATATACCTTCTCTTCAAATTTGATATACTAGCTAACACTCAACGAATTTAACCGTTGACATTTTCCATATTACATTGTGACATTGTCCTCTACTAAGTTGATAATTTTCATTCTTTAATGGATCGGAGAGGAACCAAACGGGTTCAAACAAACTTTTCGACGAGTAGAGTTCGAAGCTAGTATATAACGAGAGCTACACGACTAGTTGAGTTCGAAGCGAGTATATAGTGAGCTAAACGATTTTATCTTTTTTTATGAGAATCAATACGATTTTATTTTCACCACTATAAATCGATTAAATGAGCAAGAAAATAACGACAGCCAACGACCTAGCTCATTAACACTAGTTTTACTAATTAAGCAAATGTACACCAAATCAAATTTAACCCCATTTCAAGAAAGGATTACTTAAATTTCAATTTTCAACATAAAAAAAAAACATAAATTTCATCAACTATGTTCCATCACAGATTACAATTCACTTAGATCTCATTCGAGTATGAGAAAAATCATCATAAATTAAATTGTTTGGCTTTGTTTAACATCCCATTAGTGTAATATTTACATTTCGGGTTAACCCACAATTGTAGAAACAAATGAACTATTATCTAAATTTATTGCAAAATTATGTAATGGACCTCATCGAACTCAATTATACAAATAAATTACCCTAAAGTTGTATGATGCATGTTATCACTGATAATTATTTTTTGACATCAGAACGACGATTTAGTTTATTCGAATAATGATTGATTTTTCAAATTTAAGGGTATTGTCGAACATCGAAGAGACAAAAAATCTTTGTATATAAAGAAAGAAATGCTAGGCAACATATGAAACTCTGATGGCATATTTCGTATTTTTAATTAAATTTTATTGTTATGTATTATTATGTTTTCGTTTTTAACCGCTAGTATAATATAATATATTAATATGTTCATAAATAGTTGGGAAGTTTTGACGACAAATCAGCCCATGTTGACTTGCCGACACAGGAAAAATATTTAAAAAAACTTGCGGGCTTGATAGAATTCTTGGGCCAAGATCTATTTTTAGACCCAACTTCCATATGCAATCTATTGCAAACATTGTTCATTAAAAAAAAAAAAAAAGAGCAAAAATAGATAAATCTTTTTTTTTTTTTTTACGAATGAACACCCCGTTCAGGGTCGGGGTTGGGCTCGACTCTCAACCTGTCTATAGATCAAAAACTAATAATTACATAACGAGTCTAAGGCAATATGTTACAATTCCAAAAATGGCTAAAATTGCAACTGCCAAAAAAAACTATAAAAAATAGAATAATACGGGCAAAACATGAAGCCCAAACTAATGAGGATGATCAAAGAAAGCCTTAGAAAAATCGAGAAAGTTCGTTTACCTCACCACGACATACGAGGCCATTTATAGTTCCACCAAAAAAAATGGGCGGTCGTCCATGTACTACGATTGCAAAATATGTGATATCATATAGCAAACAAATAACTCCAAATAGATTCAAACATACTATGATACGCAAAGCAATTTTGCAAGTTCGTTATTACAGGTAGTTCCTACAAAGGATCGGACTAATGACCTTAAAAATCATTATTAATTCTATTGGATTTTAGTGAAGATTCATTTTTTTTTATTCTTGAGTCCTTTTAGATTTTATCAATATTTATATTGCGACTCCATAACATTTAGTCAATTACACTTATTAGTACCAACCGAACATAACTTAATGCATATTTGATCATGCCACACATAAAATTCTTGTTTCGTCACTGCACACACACATATATATATATATATATATATATATATATATATATATATATATATATATATATATATATATATATATATATATATATACCATTGAATATAAACATAAAATAAACCATATTAAACCAGCAAATCGACAGGTGTCTAGTTAACTCGGATTAAAGTAATTTGAAAAATTGATACTTTTTTCCAACAAAAAAGAAAACACCCACTTCCGCTAATCCGCTGGATTGCAACTCAAGACCAAAGTTGGTAAAGCTTTTCTTAAGTCTAATGATTAAGGTTTTTTAAGTTGACAACTCATTCCTCCCATGTAACGATTAAGAAAACTTTAGAATTTCAAACTTTTATATATATATATTGTTAACCTTAGTTTGACAGCAACTGTCAATGTGGCTGAGGTTCGGGTATAGGCCGCCCACAAACAATTGATGTGGGTGAGTGTGTTTTGAATGCACTATCAACTCGATCGCATTTTCTGACACCTATTAGTTTTTAGGACAACAAGAAGCGCATGAGGTCCTACATGTTATCTGATGCAGAGGTGGCGGAGTCGGAATTGGGTGGGGCCAAGTTTTCCGAACCGGAACGACGAGGGGAGTCAAACTCACAGCGTTGTGATGTGCGATAGATTTTGACGTTTCGAGGTCGTTAGGCCTTCAAAACGACGTTTTGCTATTTTAGGAAAATTTTAAATAATTCATAATTAATTCTAGAAAAATCGGATTTGAATTCCGCAAGTTGGGTTGTTTCCATCTTTCGGTATTCTATTAGGTTTAGGAGTTATTTCGTTTTTTGCCTTTTTTGGTAATTTTCTCGTTTTCCTAGTTTGATTAGGTTTTTCGTTTTCGTTAGTATAAATAGTTGCTCTATGGTTTATTTTTCAGCATCTTTTCATTATTAATAAAATTTCTGAGTTTTCTCTCAATTATCCGGTGGATTAAATCCAGAGTTATCATGTTTTATAGGATTAATTCGTAGAAATTAATTCTTTACCGTGCTTCCGTTCTGCGTCATTATCTTCGAAGCAGACTGTCTCACTGCCACTTTGAGCATCAATGATCGCTCAGCTCCCTCCCATTAGTCTACCAAGGTCCTCATTGAGGAGATTTGAAGATATTGATTTATCTGGCCGAAATGGAAGTTCAAACTTTGCCCTCGAAATGCCTTTTCAGCATCAGCGTGAGACAACG